TAATAAACTGCTCCGACGAAATTATGATAAAATTATTACATGTAAACGTATCGACATTTCGATGGTTATCGACGGCGCTCCTGTTTGTGGACTAGTGCGGCGACCCGGGGGATGTTGGGTCAAAGAACCCGAGGCATTGTTTACAAGATGACCCGAATCTTAAACAGGCACGCGCTTCTATTCACTGCAGCAATGGACGGGACGTTGTGTGTAGTGTTGGAGCGAACGGAGTGTGTGTATAATAATATGTTCTTCTGTCGTTCTTTTATTTTTTCCCTCCTCGTTTTGTATACAATATTCTTCTCCTATATCTACTTTGATTAGAGATGCGAGTGCACGTTCCTTGACCTCCGGAGACACCATTGTCGTCTGGGACGGTTAATCTGGATGGAATCTCATGTTTCGAACAAACAAGACCGCTCGGTAGGGGTGCCCGCTGTCCAACAGGCTGCTGTCGGCCCTCGCGTTCCTAGTCACAGTAATTCCCGAGGATACGGTTTTGATAATTGTTTTTGCCATTAATTATTCTGAAAATTATCGCGCGCCAAATAATAAAGTTACGATTGGTATTGTGGTTTTTTTACGAGATGCGGATAGAGAAGTTTCGCCATTAAAACATAACATTTTCTAATAGCTTGGCCCATACTTGGACAAGTTAACTTTATGCAGGTTGGCAATTTTTCATTATGACGATTTTGTAATAAAAGCCGCTGTAAACTGGGTGAAATAATCGATTCAGAGTAAATATATTTTTCCACCCGTTAGACATGTATTTTTTTACTGTGGGTTGTGAGATAAGCGACTAGAGTGTTAGAAATAATATTTAGTTCGCTCCTTGTAATCCTTCACGCACTAGGTGTTGAAATTATTAATAACTGTCTAGTAATTAAACGAACGTATTCCACCGACGGGATTGAAAAGTTTCTTCACTTACTTCGCTAAATAGTTGTTGGGTAATAAAACTTAACGGTCTTAAGGTTGTGTTGTTTGAATATAAATTTTCTTTAGTCGGAAAATTCATTTGCGTTTACCTTGTTTGTGTTATATTCAGCTTGCAAATTACGACCCGGTGAATGTTTAATTTGTCTATTAATAGAAATCTGTGCTCTCTAATATCTGTCAAGTTTTCTTAAAATTTGAGTTGCTCTAATGCATTCCGCGAATCCGGGACTGCTAATTTTGACAGATCCGCTTTTATACGTTTCTCGTGATCAAACAGACTTTTTAATAATGTAAGTAATTTAAATTATGATGTTATTAATTTTCTTTGTTTAATTACCGTGCAAGTTTTACATCTTTTTCCATTCACAAAGATGACGGACATTTCATAATGTTTGACACAAGGATAATACCATTTAGCAAAGTCAATATCATAACCTTGTGTCGTTATCAAATGAAATGCTGTTGGACATTGTTAGTTATACCTGATTAGTTTCCGTCAATCATTAAAGTGTCTTGTGTTAAAGAGTGCGGATATAACAAAGCGATAGTGATCGCAAAAACAGTTATTATTATTGACTTAGTAATAATATTGTGGGTAATGGACGTTAACGTGCTTTGTACTACAGTAATTGAAGGTCTTACATTAACATCATATTCTTCGGATTTATAATAAAAACGTAAATGTTTGATATTCAATATGTTGTGATAGAAAAAATGCATATTTAATTACCCATTTATAAATAACTTAATTCCCTGTAATAGTATAAAACAGCAAATCGCGTGAGTCATAACTGTGAATCTAATTAAGCGTAACTATTTACATTATACAGATAATGACATTATTATCACAAAAAACCTAATCGATTACTTTCTAGGTATTCTTAAAGAATTACTATTGATAGCCTTGTAACAATGTTATGATCTCATCAATTCATTTACTGTTATAAAATGAGATCTCAAGTAATATAAGGCTTATTAAGTTAACTAGCCGTGGTAAAATTTTGATCGTGTTTTTTCAATAAAATATGTTTAAAGATGTCGTTTTAGTTATAATATTCATATCATCGTTTATTTTTTAATACACGCACGGCGTAATAATAAGAAAAACGTGATGCAGTTTAAAAGATGGTAGAACGATATATAAATCCTAAATTGTTGCAGATTAAGACTATTAGGGTGACCTAGTGCCCTCTCCGCTGACGGTGATCGTAATCTATAGGCTCATCCTTGTGACTCACAAAATCGAGATCATGTTCCACGCATAAAATCCTTTTTTTATTATACTAGTTAGTCGACTGTGTAGGGCCTGCGAGTTTTTAATAATATATTTATATTGTGTGATAGCCGCAGTGGGCTCAAATAGAGCCGTAACGAGATCTTCGACCTTGCTAGAGGTCATCATCATTCAGTTGGCGGAACACCCTGACTGAATGTGAGAGAACGGCCAGTAGGTGTAATGATAATATCGTTGTATCACAGTAACCTTTTTCTGACTATTATTTATTTAACTTTTATTTTTGCAAAATCAGTCTGCGGCTATTTTATTACGTTGTACTTCTAACCTGTACACTATAAAATAACAACAATTAAAATACTTGTAGTATCGGAGGGAGTGGCATTTTGCTGAGGGTCCTAGTCTATGCTAATTATTGCATTTGGTCCACACTGCTACATGACATTGTATGCCATTGTAAGATCAGACTGGTCGTATTTACCGCCAATGACTGTGCTTTTACTTCTCTCCTTTCTTGTCGTTTTCAAAAGTTATACTCTGTTTAAAATTAAAAATATTAATTTAAATAAATTACAATCTTAAATATCATTAGCCACAAGTTATCAATTCTTATTTACACTCTATCACGATCGTATCCACGTGTTATTGGATACTCTCTGCGGTCCGTGTTCTACATCTGTTGCACTCTCTCAAATCGTTAAAAAAATGTAGTATGCCAGTATTGTGATGACGCCCCAATAACGAATCGACTCGTATACACGTAATTATTGTAGTCATTACTTATGTTTACTCGAAAATATTCAATCAGCGTGTGTAGTGTTCAAAAAAAAAAAAAAAAAAATGTTTTAGTAAATTTGTTTTTTAAATTAATCTTATTTCATGTATATTGTTACTCAGAATGTTTCATATGAAATCACCGAATTACAGTATATTAGTCTTCGATGCGTTCAAGATCAGACGGAATTTGATTTGCATTAGCCATTGCAACATTACATAGAATTACATATACTCGATTATTGTGATCGAGAGCGGCTGTAAATTTTGCAACTGCTAATGGCGGCGTTTGGTTAAAATTATGTTTCTTTCAATTAGTCACGTTTTAATTGAATAGCAGTTACTCTCGTTTTCTCATAATATTGCACCAGTTGTTCTCGGGCCGTTTGACTTTTACGGCTCATTGACCCGCTGCCATTGTCACTATGTTCAATACGAGCACATTCACGTGTGAATTAAAACACTACTGTTTACGCTCTTGTTCTTTATTGTTCTCGTCGAAACGGCTCGGAAAGCATTTAAATATAATATGTGTCAACGAGAATAATAATTATTCTCGAGAATACAATGATTGTAACTACTGTGTGCGATTTGCAACACTGTCGTTGATCATCATCGCTTGTTCCATGTTATAATTGTTATGGTATGACTCGGCGACTTTGCCAGCGCATCCACTTTAAGCGGTGCCGTATAACATTATAGGTGTGGCTCCGCAATGCCATTTCTAACTATTTAGATGGGTTTTATCACATTTTAAATAATTCGCGTTGTTGGAATAAAATTGATTTTATACGTGTGGATCCGGTTGATTTATTCAAAATAAAAAAAAACTTTGCATGGTAATATCGACAAGGATGTTATACGGCCTATGGCGATTTGAGTTTTTCTGCGAAAACGTCTAAATGGGATTACCGTCTGTATTTTATCCGCCGACAATACGTTAGAGATAACTGTCGATTGCCTTGGACTTTCCATCGAGATTGCGTAATTTGCGTTTGGTCCACTACTGAAAGCGTTCGCGTCATTTTCATGTTGTGTTTTCACGTTTCATACCCCAAACGTATCGGTTCCTGTGATAGATGTGCGTGCTGCACTCTCACGATAGTTATAATTATGTAATACTGTCCATAATTGTGTGCCTTTCTGTGTTATGGTTCACCCAGCCCTGTCTACGAGTGTAATAAACCGTGTTTGGATACTGGCGGACATGCGCTCAGTTCCTCCTATTCAACACGACACTTACGGACCGTCTCTTATGGTGTGTGTGTGTGCCATGGACGATTCATTAATTCCATACTTCTCTCCCGGCACTTCGTGTACGGCCGCCGCGGCGTTACATCGTTTTTTTGACGTCTGAAAACAGTCAAAATGTTTGTCAGCCATCAACCACAACGCGTTTGGACATTGCGGTCGATCGGCTCAAACATACTTTGGAAAGTCATAATGAAATACGAGACTGCAGGAGGCGCTATACGCGTATAATAACCATATGACTTCGTGTTATGAACTAATCACGCTCGCGGGAGGCCATTATTGTAGGGGGTAACATTACCGTCGTCCTATTAGTGCGCCGTACTTACAACTATAACCGCGTATGAATTGAAAACGCAAGTGACCGATCGACTTCTCCGTTTGATTCGCTCTGGAGTCCAGGCCGAGGAGCCAGTGACCCGAGTACTTTGATCTCGGCTCACCGTGTTCTACGAATACACACATACGTAATATCCCAGTCGTCGTCGGTTTGGCGTCCTTGTGCGAGTACCTTGGGGGCAACTTGTCCGATTTGTGCGTGTGTTGCATCGAACCGGTTCCCTCTGGTCTCGCTATCACCCCTCCTGTCACTATTTAACTGCCGATCCGCGGTTCCTCCACCCATCGCGTTTATCCCTTCCCCCAACAATAGCGCTGGGATTCATCGACTGCAGCGGCGAGCCTCGTACGACGATCGGTGGCGGCGACGATGATGACGATGTTCCCGAAACCGGTTGCGGCGGTGGCTGCCACGGCGGGGATCTCCAGCTCACGCGCTCAACACACAGCGCTTACTAATGCACACGCAGTCTTCGTTGTCCGTCCGTCGATCGCACTGTGTGCGTTGTTGTGTTTGTCGTTCTCGTCGTTTTCAGTGCGCGCGTAATTTTATTTTATATGCGAGCGTGTGTTCGTGTCAGCGATCATATATATATTTTTTAAACAGTACTGTACTGGTATAACACACGTATTGAACGCCGTACCGAACAAATAGCCAAATATCGCATTCGAATTGTGCAAAAAAATTATTCATTTTCGATTGTTTTTTTGCTGGACGTCAGCGACCTGTTCTATGTTGCCATTCGAGCTCCCCGTGTTGACGGATGGACCGTCTTAAACACCCTGTGTTATGAAACCTATTACGTTTGAAAATCTCCGACGGCTCATCGGTGGCCGCCGGAAGAATAAAGATCGTAATGATCAATCGCCGTTTAAACGTAGCGAATCGTTCAAACGGATATCTATCAGGAAAAACTACCTCGACAATCGAGGCCAAAAAGGCGGTAGGAACCCAACGAGAAAACATTTACCGTTGCCGGATCCGCCAGTGACGACGTCCGAGAGTCGCGACCGGCAGGAGCCGAACAGACGTAGATCGGTTACACCGCCGCCGCCTAAACTGTCCGCCGCCGATCGTTTACCCGATGTGCCATCCGCCGTCTCGGCGCCCGTCATAGACTATGGTGAATGGATAAGGTGCATACGAGCCGAAGAGGATCTGAATAATTTAAAGAAAATAGTCACTCCGCCAACGCCGCCAGCCAGGTATTACCGGGACCGATACAAGGAGTTGGACGACAGTAGTCGTGCCGATTCGGCCATCAGTCTGGGTCGCGTGTGGATGGACGCTCCGATGTTACCACCAGCCGCGCCCAGGAGTCTGGAGCTACCAGCTCGGCCCGTGACCGACAACGACCGAAGAGCCCACCATTCCCTCGAGAGTGCGTTAAAGGAGAAACGCGACGACCGACCGGTACCTATGCGCCGGTTCCATCGGTACCCTCATGCCGATTCCAAGTCGGCGTCTCGGTCGTCCATGGCCACGTCGACTTGTTCCGGCAAAGATTCTGGATTCAGCGTGTCTGCTCCGGGTTTGTCTGATTTACCTCAGTCGTCCAGACAGTTGTTTAGGAAAAAGGCGACAAAGCAACGGCCATCCAGTTCTGCCGTGCACTATCACCACCAGCACGGCTCGCCTTCGGTGTCCTCACAAGAGTTTTACCAGGTAGTAGTAGCAAGAGCGCCACTGCGGTACCATCAACAGCTCAAGTTGGACCCTATGATGTTCGTAGCGCCCGAAAAGCGTCGAGTCACCCCGACGGCCTCTAGTATTCAAAAGCGTTCGGTCGTCGAAGTAAGAGACTACTGTGTGCCGAAGGACGCCCGTTTAGAGCTGCGCGAGGACGAGCAGTTGGAAGATAGACTTTACGAGTCCATATCCAAAGGTCGATGCCGTTGGCAAGATACCACGGACGACGCAGATACCGAAGACGATAGGGCCGTTACTCCCGCGATCGTCGTTAATCCCGCGGCTTCCAGGAACCGTGTCAAGAGGAAGAAGTCGGCACGACGAAACATAAAATATGTGGTGAAACCTGTGCGGAGAGCACCGTCGGCAGTGTCCAGAAGGCCCAGTATAGCGACCAAGACGAAGGCCGCCTGGATCACAAGTACGTCCATCGGTGTAGAACGCGCGCGCGTCTAGTTAAATACCATGTCGTTGTTTTTTAGTGTCATTATAGTTTAGATTACCCATTTGTGGTGATACCGGCTTAGTCGTGTGTGTGTTGATTATATTTAAACACAGGCTTATTTTTACTTTTTGAGGTCGACTATTATGATGATTACTTTCTGCCCGGACACGATGAGTAGTGCCACACGGTTCTATTGTCTGGTCTCTCACGTCAGAACGTCTTAATTTCTTTTGACAAGTTTTCTACTCGTAATCGCCGCACGAACGAATCTCTGCGTATTGTGATATTTGTGTACTCGGAGTTTAGAGAAAAAAAAAAAAAACGTTGTGTTTGTGTGCGTCCGTACTAATCTTTATCGACACGTCCGCAGGTATTTCCACGATAATCTATCGTGTAGTGTAATTGTCAGTTGTTTGCCTAGTGCTGAAATTTATGTTTCAGTTGTTGTTGGACAACGGAAGTCGTGTATGATATTCGTTGTTGTCAAATAAATGTCATTTTAAGGTCATGGCTGTTGTTTTCAAAAAAAAAAAATTGCGTTTGGTGACTAGTTAAGACTATCTGTCTGTGGCAACTATATAATTTTATGTTAATAAAATTCCATGTATGCGTATTGTAAGTCATGCCCCTAAAAGTTTCTTCTAAACGATTAAACGTGCCGTGTTGTATAACGTCGTTTGCCCTATCGATTTCCGGGCAATAGTAGTTTCTGGTCGGACGGGAATTCGAATGAAATTCATTAGAGCCGTGATAAAAGCAAATAAACAAGTTGTAATGCGAAAAATATCAAGTGTCTATTACATGTTAAAAATATTATCTTTGTCGTTATTTAATAACGACGATAACGTCTATTCCCATATGCGCGTACATTAAACTTGACATAACTCCAACTTGATTTTTTCGGTGTATTTGACATGACCATTTTAACACTCGTCGAACACAAACTTGTCCGATGAATTATTTTGGGACTGTAAGACATCCGCTGTCGTTCAAAAGACGCATTATTAAATTATCACGGATTATTGTTGTGCTACTATGGTACACAAATCGAGAGGGTTAAAAAACCGTAACGCAATAAAAAATATATATATATCAAGTACCGTCATCGGGGTTTTGATGATAATGATAATAGTTATGTAAATCAATACGGTCTGAGTGAGTGTAGTCGTCTGGGAACCTTGAAAAGGTTAGCAATCGACAATTTCCAACCGGATCGAATATCACTCTCGAACGTATCTGTAACCCCGTCGCTGCATTGTTTATAGGGTTCACCGGTGAAGTGGAAAGAAGGAGCGCATCGTCTGTACCGCACCACATAATATTTATTAAACACAATGATAATAAAATCGGTCTGAGGTTGTCGAGATCATCCTCGTCCGTTCTTTGTCATCTTGACGCGGTGTATTTTAAATATCACCTAAAACAACTTTAACGCGCATGAGGCTCTGTCTAGGTGGAAGGTAGATCTGCGTCTGGTGTATTCGCCGGAAGAAGAGATCAATGCATTCTGGCCCGACCATTGATCTCTCTAAATTATGGGGTAGACCGTATTGCGATCGATCCCAACGTATTATTTGATAACTTACTTAATGTTTGTTTTTTTTTTTTAATAGCTACCTGTTCTCCGATTTATTTTTCGCCCGTCAAATTACGTTCTATTTCTCTCTGCGTGGCCAACGGAAATTCTGGTCAATAAATAAGGTTATACAACGATTGGCGAGCATAATGGGGGCTAACATAATCTACGGACAAAGGTTAACATACGCGTGTAAAATTGCGGTGACATTTGAAGTTCGTTAGTGCCCAGCGAGAGAGCGTGTAAGACTATTACTTGTAATGTTGTTAGGTTTTATCGAGCGCGTGGGAAGAATTTTACAGCATCCACGTCGTTCCGAGTAAAAATTGTATTTTATACCACAGAAATCGTTTTGCCGCCTGGTCTTGTGCTGCGAACTGCTGGCCGTTGGTTTCCACAATGAAAACACGAGTACCGTGTGCGCGTGGACCTAATACGATTTTAATTATTATTAGTAGGCTACTGAACATAATGTTTTACACTAATGTGTTCTGAAATAATTTAAAATATTTTAGCAATAATCATTAACATTATCTATGCCGTGTTTTACCTTGTCGTTTAATAGTTTTTGTGTTTTGTTTGTTTCAGGTAAGTCACGGCAACGGACAATACTCTATTGAGGTGTTTATTTAACGCAGCAGCCCATATCGTCTCGAGTTAAGATAATAAATGTACACAGAAGGACTCACGGTGAGTCTTCTGATGACGCCATCGCTTAGTTACATACGACCATATGAAATTTATACACTTAATTAATATTAGAACAATTCATTTGTAGTACCTAATTAATTAAAAAAATAAAATACCATAATCTATTAAAATGTCATGTTGTAGTAAACAGTAACCGAATAACATCTCTAACCTAGTTGCCCGAGAACATTAAATTCTTGGCTCTCTTTTTAATCGACCGCGTCGTCAATTGTTGGCTATTTATTACCTAATTTCATCCTTTTATATATTTAACATTTGCCGACTCGGCAGAGGCGGGTCGATGTTCAACTAAATGAAAAAGTAAATCCTGTACATCATCATCATATCCTGGTAATTCTTGTTTTGCATGATTTTTATTTTTTTTTAATTACATCAACATACTTGAATGGCGTCTAACTAATTAAACATCGCCTCCGGCATATATTGTTATATTGGTCTGCGAGCTTAGACTTACTTAGGTGTTGGTTGTTACGTAGTTGGAAAATATGACATTTGGCATTCGACAAGAGTAATGGATATTTATTGTAGTGTTGTCAAGAGACTTGGTATAGTAATGTTCATATTGGAAACAGACTTTTGGGGAGTTGTTAACTAAACACAAAATTCAATTATTCACAGGAAGAGCTAAGATTTGTGTTTGTGTTGACAACTCGTTGTGACTTTTGTTTACTACGAAATTCAACCGTTAAGTGCTTTTAGCCAAATAGTTTTGGTATTGTATTTATTTATTTTTCCTATGTTTGTTTAATTTTAATTATTTAATTACATTAATTTGCCATCACCCGATGCACTACCAGAAGGCCAAAGCCTTCGAGTAAAGGCTGTCCGCCTTGTGCGGCTGCTGTCGATCTCCAATTATGTAGTTTTTTATCGGACGACTCGTATTATTTGTCATGTTCCCTACTTTGGAGAGGTGCAGCGAAATAATTACAACGTCGGAGATGTTTCGACTCTGAACGCTGTTTTTCGCTGCAAGTCAAATTAAGAATGTATACATAAATTACTTGCATAGAGTGAGGTAAGCGCGGTCGCTGTTCACATTTGTATTGTACTCGAGTGGCCAGCAATCTAATTGGGGTCAATTCTTCTCGACGTTCACCGCCCGCACGATATAGTTACATAATTTTGTTTTCTTCTTCTCCCGACGCCATTATACATACAAATCGATCCACATCTCGAACCGGCCCGTTCACACTTTGTAAAGTATGTTATACGTGTACTCCGTGATCGTCCGACCACTTTCAAATTCACCCGAGTCGATGCTCACCATAAATCGCACGGCAACCTTCGGGTCAATCGCGTTGCGCGTGTCGCAATCGGCACCACCATAAGCGTCGTAGTTAAATCATCCCCTTGTGCTTCGGTCGTGTTTGAAACGAAATGAAAAAAATTCAAAACAATTGTAGCGCAGTCCCGCAATCGAAATACGCCGTCACCTTCGCGCCACTGATTTAGGACGCCGAAATTGTGTTTGTTCTTGTACTGCAGCCATTGAGCGGTTTACCGCCGCTGTAAGACATCTCGTCGGCAGCGACGCGTACACCTAATGGGTACAAATGTAGTACGAGAAACCATTCTCCGCCACTGTTACCGTCTACTCGTACGGTTAATAACGGCGTACATCACCGCAAATTCTGTTTGTACAACGAATAATCTGTTTTGTATGCCCCTCGGCGACAAGGTCGTACTGTCGTTATAATTATGTCGACAGTGCGCGTATGATAAGTGTTTTTCTGTTACGTTTGTTTACGCGTCCCTTTCGTTTTAATTACTACTTAACTACTTTGTTTTAATCTACTTAAAGCGCTACAATAATAGTTATTTATCACACAGTACTTATTAAATCGCATTCGTATCTGCTGTGTCTTGCCACACGTGCCATCGATCTCTTAATGGGTTTTCTGCGGTTCCGACGCACTTTGCCCGGCGCTTTCCTAGAAAACATCCGGCCGTGCCCTCGCGCGACGTTTTCCTAAAACTGCAGAGGGCGTTATTTTGTGTTAGTATACATACTAAAAAAGCGCCTGCATCCTTTTTCCGGCCGATTATTACACTGATCTGTTGTCTCTATTGACGTTGCCTCGCAAACGCGTCGTTCGTGAGATATTTGACCGCGTTAAAGTTAAAAAACCAACAACTGACATGCGTTGCGCGGGTCATTTAGCGTTGTCAGTTTACACATTAGTTTGTCGATATGATGATAACAGCATATCAGAATTGACGGCAGTAGCGGTCGATCTAGTGCGGAGATAAACCAACTGCCGTTTTGTACACCGTAGCTACTTTGGTCGTGAGTTTGTATGATTTTCTGTACAGGGCAAACGACGAAGCGTGTGCCGCCTCAATAAATCGAAGCTGAAAGAACGTTTGGCGCAATTAAACAATTTAACCGTCTAGAGAAACCAACTGCCTTCGATTGTTTGTCATCACTTAAATATGATAGTTACTAGACACATAGAGAGAATGATGAACTACGACCAAACGATTATTTTGTTTAGCTAAAGACAATGTGTGCGACCGCTGCGTGTGTTGAATAACATCGCGTTAGATTATGTGGACTCGTCTTGATGTTGTCGGCCGACAGATTCGTTTGCGACATGATATGTAACGATATATTACGCGCATAATTGTATTTATATTACTGTGATATTGTAATTGTCGAAGAATAGCCCAGTCATTCTTTTTCATC